CAAATAGCTCTTTAATTTTACAAATATCCTTGTAAGAATCTACAAACATTTTAAAATTGAGAAGTCCAAGAAGAAGAGTTACAGTGAGAAGGAAATAAAGAAATTAGGTAGATGGGAAAGGAAAGGTATGCAGTGGAGAAGTATGCATTTGCAGCTTGAAAAAAGAAAATCATCATTATCGTGGGAAGGGAGAAAATGTCCTGCTATGGAAACTGCCACTATCTAAACTTGAACTAATTCACTTCTTAATTAAAGGTGGTTCACTGCTCTTCTCTGTTCCAGAGAATGACACACTACCATCTCACCCTCCAGTTCCATCACTCAACATTTCTAATCCATCATTAAGGCTTGAATGTCTGCAAAAGTTCTTGTTAACTGACATGTTAAGAGCATTCAGAATATTTTGCTATTGTCATTTATTTATAGAAATATGAACAAGACTGTTGGGCTGATCGTTTTATACATGTATATAATATGCACGTTCTACTGTCTATTCTTTATAGGTATATAATAAATTAAATACTATAAAACAGAGTTTTAATAAAAGAGAAGAAGTTCTGCATTCAGATACAGCTGAATTAATTTAAATATTGGGTTTACCATTTCTTGAGTACATCGCTTAAGAACTGCCAACCTCAGTTTCTTCATTTGTAAAATAGTTATCATGACCTTGAAATTAAATAGCACACGGAAAGCATATCACATAGTACCTGATACAATTTAAGAGACCAATTAACTTTAGTCATTACATCATTGGATTTTTTTCACAAGATACAACATACACTCATAAATGCATACTTTCTAACTGAACAAGGACTATAAGATATATTTTCGAATGATTTCTTAAAATATGATTTTAAGAAATATTCCCTTCTTTAAGAGTTATTTATTTTCTAAACCAGCCTATTAATCCAAATTACCTGCATCAGTGAGAGAACAGATACTCTCAAAAGTAGTAAGTATGTGGAAGGATACAACCACAACAATGAAGCTTAACTCAAATGTTGGAGGGACAGAATCAAAGGCAGAATTAAGGTAATGCTGAGTAGAGAAGTAGAACAGCTGCTTTGCCTCTTGAGATGCCCAAAGACATATTCAAGCTGCCCACAGCTGCCCTTAGATTCTGCCAATCCGCCTTTTCTCCTTACTTCATGAATATTGCATAAACCATACACATTCCAATTCCCAGAGAATACGAATGGTCACCATAAACCTTTGCCAGGCCATTAACAGTCCACAGGTCACATATAGTGACAATGAATCAAGCCACTAGTGACCTTACCCAAAGGACTATTGAATTACCAAATGTCATGTAGACTCTCGGGGCAATTCCAAATAAGGAGTTTAAGCACATTTTAAACAAAGGCAGCACCATTCAAATAAGTAAACAGCCATACAAGCTGGAATACATATTTGAATAAGCAAATTTCAGCTGTCTGATTAGAATCTCTACTGAAACTCCAAACCTTATATATTCTTAGAATATTTCCTTCCCGTAATATGTTTTAAAATTTTGCTCTTAACACAATCTTTCTCCTTCTAAATTTCCTTCTCCCTATCTCTCTCTCTCTCTCTCTCTGTCCCTCCCCCCAAATCCTCCCTCCCTCTTAATTTTAATGTGTTCTCAACCTTCAAAGTTGAACTTGATACTGAAGCCATTCACTGACAACTGACACTCCAAAGCCAGCTATGCTCTGGTGAGAATCTGGAGTTAGGAGGATGGGTGGGCTAACCTATTAATCACTGTCTTAGGAACACAGACTTCAAGTACACTGCTGTGGAGATCTGAGTTATTATACATACATAGTCAAATATTGTAGAAGACATGAAGCCTCTGATGTATATTTTGACTAGATTTCTTTCCCACCCTTAAATACTATGAATCTATGCCCTCACAAACGAATTTAATTTTCTTGACATTGGGTTATGTCATTTGCACACAGGTTGTGGCCCATCCTGCCAAGAGGAGTTACTGAATCAGAGTGGACTTAGCCCATTGCATTTGTTCAATTGAGATTTACTGGCAATGGCAACAGCTCCATCCAAACGATATGTTTAAAGGAGCGAACAGAAGATTATCGGTCCTCTTCCCACCTTTGGACATTAGCTTTATTCTGATTAAGTGGTACTTTTAAGTATTTATAATATTCCATTACAGCACTAGTGCAAGTTCACTTTGCAAAAAATGAAAAGAGAACTATAACAACTCATTATAAATAGAAAAAATATGTATATAAAATACATCTCCAAATCCAGAATCTCTGGACTTGAGCAATCCTGGGGTTGGGAGAAGTTAATAACTACATGGGAGAGTCATTATGTTTTTATACTTTTCAACATTATTAGAAAATTATTAGTAGAAATATGTTGTCTTAAAACTTAAAAGTTAATCACTAGTGAAATAAAGATATGACATATAGCTTCTAAAGTCCATGAGAAAATAAAGAATAAGGAATTTAGTAGTAAAAATATATTACAAAAGTTAATATTAAGAAAGAATACAAAAAACATTAAAATCAGACCAAATAGAATTCAAAGGAAAAGGTATTATATGGGACAAAAATAAAAAGGTTATTTTGTGATTAAATACATAAACTGATATGAAAACAGAGCAGTTATGAATCTTTACATGTTGCATATCAGAGTATCAAAGTGTATAAGACAAAAAAAGTCAAAATGTGAAAAAAATTTAACACAAATCTCCTATCAGTGGGAGAACTGTTTGTGTCTTTCTTGGTGTTTGAAAGATCAAGAAGACAAGAGGTGATTTATTAGATGGATGAAATAATAATGTTTTAAGTAAAATTGATTTAATAGCTACAAATCAACTTCTTTCAAACTGCCATCAAACATTTATAAGCTTTTAACATAATTCAGAGCACAATGAAAGTGTGAATAATATTTACATTTGTGCAGGTAACATTTCTGAATACAGTGTACCACAACTAGAAATGAACAGTGGAGTTAAATAAACAAGCCAAATCCACTTTGGAAATTTTAATATTATCTTCCAAATAATTCTTAGCTTATAAAGAAAAACAGTCATGTAATTGTAGAATATTTAGCAAATAATTATGATAATAAGCATCAAAAGTTATGAACTATGGCCAAAGCTGTATGTAATACAGCTCATTGCAATAAAGGAATCTTTATTATTAAATAAGAAACAGTGAAAACAAATTAGAGGAACTAAACTCAAGAAACTAGAAAAAGAGTAACGTAATTAACCTGCAGAAAGATAGAAATAAAATAAATCACAAATCAGTAATTAGAAAACAGAAGCAGTAAAATAAATAAATAAATAAATAAATAAATACCCAAGACTTAATTTTTTTTTTTTTTGGAAAGGAATAGTAAGTTCTACCAAGTCCTCAACACAATAGAGCAAAGCAATTAAAACGACAATCAAAGGCAGAGAGGACATAAATTTATCCCTAGGGAACGGGAAAGGAATAAAACTGCAGATAATCATTTTTTTTTCCACTGAAAAGAGTGTACAAAATCCTTTCTAATGATTTTGAAAATCTTGTGAAATGGGTTCTTCTAAAAGAAAATGTAAACTACCAAAATTGACTTAATGGGAAGTGCAGTAATTCCCCTACCTGCACGCTTTTCTTCGAGAACCAGTGCCCAGAGCTCTGCAGGAGCTATAGACTGTTGAACCCTGACCAGTTAATTCCCGCGGGGGTGAGCATCTAACCTAATCTGTTCTGCCGCCATCTTCCTGCGGAGGAGGACTTCCCTGGCACCTGCATTCCGAATGGAATCCCAGCCCTCTCACACCGTCCCAGCACGTCGGTCCTTCCTCTTAGGGGCTTCAGCTCTACCACCACTACCAGCCCTACCACAGTCACCATCTAACACGCCACGTATTTTATTAGTTATGTTCTTTAAATCATGCGTCTCCCTTTCCTCCTCCTACACACTTAAATGTAAGCTCCACAGAGCTGGATATTTGCTGCAGGGCAGGGCCAGGGATGGGGGTATGTACACTGTGGATTCCCAGACCATAAACAGAGTCTGTTGCATGGTTGGCATTGGATGTGTATTTGTTGAATTGGCTAAAAAAAAAAAAATAAAGGAATGAATGAATGGTTTAACAAATAAGAATGAGTTATTATCTACAGACAATAAAGTTGATCATTTATATATACTTTGATTTGGGCAAAAGAGTGTTAGACCACTTGTGGCAACTACAAGGCTATGGATAAGGGACCACAGACACTTGTCTGCTGATTCAAGAGGAAGCTGAGTAGAGTGAGATTAAGGAAGAAACAGATCATGGAGGAGGAGGGGGAGATGGAGGGGGGAGAGGAGGAGGAGGAGCTGCCTGTTTGCTTACCAGTTTTCATGAAGATCTTGCTATTTTTGTACAACTGGAGTCCATGAGGAAAACGTTACTTTAAAACTTTTTTTCTTTAATCACAGAATCACTGATGTGCGCAATGCAAATTACAGTAGCTCTTAGATTTTTACATCCTTTTAGGTCTGTCCCTTTAGGACAATAATGCTTCATCTTTGGTGTACATCAGCTACAACTATGGGTCTTCTTGTTTATTGGTTTTATTTTCTTGTTTAATGCAAGGGCACAGGCCCCACCAGGCCCCATGGGATAGTTCTAATGTGGGATCACGTCAAGACCCGCTGCTTTACTTTGTTCAATGAAGTCCACTAAAATGACTGATCAACCCACTCAAAGTTATCCACAGGTTCCTCTTAATAGTAGACATCAGATTTTACCCCAGTCAAAAACTTTTAATTCTGACAGGAGGTTTCAAACAACTGGCTCCACGTAAATCTAGCTCATCGGGACCCATCTGATTTTTAGGCCATTAATCATAGTTTTAAATTTACATTTACAATTATCCTTTTCTATTTTTCTGGATTTTAAATGACTTACAAATTATTATTGGTATTTTCGAATTCTCAGTGTTTCCCCTGGCAATGCAAATCTGACCAAAAAGCTGAAATCTTCAACTGAAGGAGATTAAGTCAAATACCTGCAGAGGTGCTTCGGGAGGCTTTTCTCTCTGCACGGGAGCCACTGGTATTTCCTGGAGGGCTTTTGAGGACTTCCTTTTGGCTTTTTCCATTTGAATATTGGTAAAATAATTGACAGCAGCAAACTCAATAAGGGCAGAAAATACGAAAGCAAAGCAGACAGCTATGAACCAATCCATGGCAGTAGCATAGGACACCTTGGGCAAAGAATGCCGCGCGCTGATGCTCAGTGTGGTCATGGTGAGGACTGTGGTTATTCCTTCAGAAGCAAAAGAGCAAAGAGACAAAATAGTTTACCATTACTTCTATGCAAACAAACCAACAAACCTCGGGACTTGGAGGGGGAGGGGTAACAAAGTTTACAATATCTCAAATCATCTTTGATGGAAGATTCAAACCCTAGCGGTTCAGTGAAATTAGCACAGGTTTTCAAGTAAGAGACAGATATCATTAAAATCCTGGCTCTTCTAATCATTGGCTCAGTGTGACTTGGATTCAGTGAGGAAAACTCATTGGGCTTCATTTGATACTTACCTATTGGGTTTGCTATAAAGATTACAAGTATATGCGGCACCTATCATATATTGGACTGGTGTTAGTATCTGAGCCAACATACCTGAGAAAGTCAACACAACCTAACAGGAAGTGTGACTCACTGAGGCACTGATTCTCAACCAGGAGTGAGAAGTTGATAGCACTGTCATTTGGAGCATCAGAATTTCTGAGATAAGCATGGCCCATTGCTATGGAGAATCATGACCAGAAAAATCATGAATCATAGATACCTATAACTGAATATTGCCTATTGAATTAAGATAAAAATAAAATAATAATCTAGTTGTGAAAGAGCTTCATTTATAAAAAGCAATAAAGGTATGTTTCTGGAAAAATAGATTTCTAGAATAATTTGGTTTTAAAAATACTGGACATCTACCATGCATCAGTTTGTGGTAGGCAGGAAAATCTTTGCAACAAGAATAGAGGTACTTCTCTTTCATCAGTAGGTTTCTGAAGAATATCATCTCTGGGGAAGCCTTCTCCTCAGCCTGAAAAAAAAGGTCAGCCCCCATTCTCAGTGGAAAAATTCCACTTGTCACTGGAGCTATAGAGAAATGTGTTATTTAAGGATGCTAATAGTTGTCTCTTTGTGTATCTTTGTCTGTCTGCATATATAAGCTATGTTATCTAGTTAAGCTCTGGAGATTTCTGTGAGAATTTACTATATCCATTTAAACTCATTCTAGGGGCACCTGGGTAGCTCAGTTGGTTAAGTCTCTGCCCTCAGCTCAGGTCTTTACCCCGGGGTCCTGGGATGGAGCTCTGCATCGGGCTTCCTGCTCAGTGGGGAGTCTGCCTCTCCCTCTCTCTGCCATCCCCCCCGCTTGTGCTCTCTCTCTCTCTCTCTCTCTCTCTCTGTCAAATAAATAAAATAAATCCTTAACAAAATAAATAAAAATAAACTCATTATATTTAATATCCAGAATTGTTCCTGAATTGAGGATGATGATGATGATGATGATGAAAAAGTCACCTAAACTATATACTCCAATCCATGTCAATCCTTCACCAAAAGCCAAATAATAACATGTCAAACTGAAGAGATAGTGAGGCCCATGCAAGAGTAATAGAATAATAATATTTGAAATTAGGGAGAAATTATATTGTCTCCTCAACTCAGCATTTAATTATATTCTGCCTTGTTCCCTAATTGTTCCATGCATGTAGGCCTGTCTCCACAACCTAATTTAGTGTAGCTTCCTTGAGGGCAGAAATATCTAACACTGCTTCAGGATTTACCATACTTCATATAATGCTGGATACATGATAAATGCATAGTAAATAAAAACTCATTTTTCACCTCCCTCACCAATCCATTTCTTCTCCAGTCCCTTCTGAATTGTCAATGTTTAGAACATAAAAAATTAGAGCAACTGTGCAGTGTATAAGCTATAGATCTTTAAAAAATATTCCATAAACTCTACAGAGAAATAAACTTGAGGATTTGGTTGTATTCCCTTTTTAAAGAAAAAAAAAGTGTGATGTTTTAGAATTTTATTCATCTAAAACAGATTTTTAAATGTTTGCTGGGTCAAATATGGAGATATTGAAATTGCTATGAAAATGGAGTACTGTGAATTTATTGGACTTCATTTCAGAAAGAAACCCTAGAACTTTTAGGCCTCCATTTGATCTCAGAAAAATGGCAGCATTCCCATACTGCCTGTGGGATGTAAATTAACTGAAAAATCTAGCTACAAAGTTTGAAGATAAATCAAAGTTTTTCTTCTTATTCATAAAAATTTAAGTTTAATGGCCTATTAAGAATTCAAAACTGTTCTACAACTTCCTTGTGTATATTTCCTCTACTATCACAGAAATTATGCTGAAAGCACTTGGAAATAAAATATGAAGAGTGCAGCCTAAATAAGAACACCTCTCAGAACTCAGAATAATGTGATAACCAAAAAAGAAAACGCAAACTCAAATATAAGCGATTTAGGATTTCTCAGGTTGCTTTGAACATTTTTTTTTTTGGTACCAGAACAATTTCTCCTGCACACCTGAAGGAGTGGTCTTCATCTCCTGCTGTCATGTGAAGAAATTCCCTTATCAGTGCTAAGCAAGCAGGATATTAATGCAATTATTGGGCCTTGAATCCCAAAATTACTTTCTGATCACTAAGGAGGGTAGATCACCAAGTTCATGAAGATGTTAAATGATGCTAATGGACATAAATGCAAAAAATATGTGGCCACTTTCCACTTCTCTTTCACTGGTTTGAGTCAATTTGATTTGAAAGTTTGTAGAAGAGCCCTTCAAATATTATGGTTCATATCTTATGACTGTTGGCAAAGTTAGGCAAGTAACCTGTATAAACAATTGGCTAAGTGTTTGAAGTTGCCGTCCTTTTAGACAAAAAATTTTCTCCTCCTTGTGGTCAAACTTAAAGAAAGCCCTAGCATGACAGGAATGTGCTTCTTATAGCTGTTTTTAGACAGAGCATTCGGTTAAATAAACACCAAAAGAGTAGCAAACAGAAGCCAACCCTTCAGATAAGGAGACATGCTTCCTCTGCATCTAGGAAGACAGTGCATCTGCTCTAAATGGCTTAATTGGCATCTACCCTGAAAACATTTCAACAACCATAGAATTTTTTTTGGCATGTTCAAGTAGAGCTGCCAGTACCTGCTTTTATAATGCTCAATACGTACCATATTGGCTGGCCCAGGGGCTGGGAGAGGGCATGTAAGAGTGGGCTAAGACTGTGCACAAGAGTAAATTTTTGGCTGGCCACTCCAAGAAAATGAACTAGTAATGATTTAGATATGCCAGCTGGCATTTACTCTGGTTTAACATTTTACTATACTGGAATAATTACAAGACTTACAGGCATACAACTTTGCAGATAGAAGGCCTTTGGAGAGAATTTAGCACACACACTCTGCTTTTCATATTTACACTAATTAATTTGGGGGGGAGGGAAGAGGAGAGTCTATTTTTCCATGATCTCTAGTGACATCCCTGATCCAACATATACTCTCCCAGAGTGAAGAGGGAAATGAAAATTAGGGAAAAGAAATATTAGTCCAGAATTAATTTTTTACTTAAAGCTCATATGAAATAGATTGCTAATGTTCCCCAAATACTTAAAACTTAACTTCCTTAGGAAAATGCCATCTCAGTGCCTCAATGAACAGTTTAATAATCACCATTCTGATACTCTTAGGTCTTTGAAGACTTAATTATTGTGCATAATTTCCCTGGTCAATCAAAACCAACATCTTGGCACACGAGCACAAGATAGGCAAATGTCACAGTTCAAATGGAAAAAGCTACCCACGAATTATCTTCAGCACACATCCATACAATCTCACTCAGAAGCTCTGGAATACTCCACAAATGCCCACATCCTCATACTTCCTGTGAAGGCAGAATGGCAGGCTTCTCGAAGTTAGACAGAAATTGTCCTGGGTCCATCACTTGTAAGTATGTGACTTTATACAAGTTTCTTGATTTCTTTGAGTTATTTTCCTTATCTGTGAAAAACTAATAACACCTACGTTGCTGAGCTATTGTTAAGATTACATAAGATGGTAAATCTTATCATCATTATTAGTAGTACTACCAGTATCCTTGCTACGTGCCACTTAATTTCCTTACAGTGTCTTATCTGTTGGAGATGTTGGTGAGTACTAATGTAATCAATGTAATCCTTCTCCACACCACTGGAAATTTCTATTGTTTGGGGGACAAGTGAGATAGTACAGTGGCTACCAGTTTGTATTCAACCAAAAAAGCTTCTGAAGCTTATCAAACAATCACAATAACCATAAAATACAGGGAACATTCATATTATAGTATCAAGTAGTGATTCTTAAATGAGGCAGATGGTAGCATGGACTATTATAATAATAAATACTTAAACAAAATGTATTGTGTGATAGGCTTTGTTCCAAGTGCTTTACCCAAATTAATTCAATTTAATCCTCATAGCAACCCTATGAAGTAGGTACAACCATTCATCCTGTTGTAACACACGAGGAAATGAGCAGAAGTAACTCACGGGCGGTTTACAGCAAATCGGTGGTAGATCTTGTGGTTAGAACCGAGGCTGCCTGGCTGCAGAATCTGTATTAAGACACTATTGCCTCTTCATCAGATGCACAAAGGATGGGTCAATACTTTCTGCTCTAGATAGTCTTTAAGGTCATAGAGAAAAGATGATAATATGTGTACCAGCGGTTTTATTCTTATTTTCTGATAACAATTCCTGAAATATTGGTATGATTTGTGCCAAGGAAAGTGAAAGTAGTTTGGTCTGTGCTCAGCCTCCGCAGGTACTTCCTGCCCTGTCAGGCTGACTCTGAACGTGATATGTAAAGACCCAAGTCTGCTATACACACTAGATGAGGTAAGGAGCATAAAGGACCTAGCAGAGTGCCCGGTATTATGCAATAACAATAAGTGTTTTCCTTGAAAAGCAATTAAAAATCAAGGAAGCCAAGTCCCAACAAAATAAATCTCCTCCATGTGAGAGAAGTATGAGAGAGAGTAACGAATATGTACTAAGTGCACCGTGTGCCCTGGAATAAGTACTGAACATCAGTCTAACTCCTCATCAGTCCATGAAGGAGAGATGCATTAGGATGGAAATGTATACGGATGGAGAAAATAAGTGCCAGATTCTGGTTTCAAACCCCAATCTATTATAGTCCCAAGCTTAGATTTGTTATTTGCTCTTTCATTTTTACACCCATTTTTAATGGGTAAAATTTATTCAACACTTGCAATGTGCAGTTATTCTTTAATTGAACGCTCACAACTCTGTGAAGTAAGTAGTGCCATGATACCCGCTCACTGCCCTCCTGGGGTCATACCCTGCCCCCAGCATTGACCCTTCTGTAATAGTTTCCCCAGTAGGGCTCTTGAGTAAACCTAAGATTAAAGGGGGGGTGCAGATGTCTATGGAAAATTTCCTCACGTTCAGAGGCACTGAGGACACTAAAACACCTGATCAGTTCTCTATACGGATGGGGAAGCGGGATGAGAAGTTCCCACTTCCCCCAGTTTCTTCTCACCAGCATCCCTCCTGCTGTTGTGTGATAAGGGATATTATATCATGGCTCTGATCCTACCAACTAGGAAAAGCAAAGGAAGAGTAACATCTCTTGTGAGGATTGTACCTCCAGTCCAGACCAACTGCGAACATTTTCCTTCTTATCCTACTACTGAATGCTTTTGCTACTCACAATCAATAGAAAAAGAATAGAGAAATATGTTAAATTGAATAAATATCATTATAACAAATTGTATTATTCAAAAGCATGGCTGATGTACAGAAGACTTGTTCACAGCTATAAAAATTTAAAACTGATGTGTTCTGGACCTCATATAGTTAAGAATATGATATATAGGAAGCCACTATAAAAACAAAAAGAAGAAAATATGCCTGTGTTCAGAAAAGAAAAGATGGAGATAAAATATAACAATGAGCTAATCACCTAAGCATATAATGCCATCCAACTCGATGCATTTAAACCACTGGCATTTTGTTCCTCTTCATTAAAAGGCAAATTATTCTAAGGTTTTCATATTCATTCAGCCGTGACTTTTATTTGTTTTATTTTAAGTTCCCAGTGCATTTCATTTTAACACCTAGCTATGATTTTAATTCAACTACACAGCATTAAGGTAGGAGCCCAAGAATATCACAAAAAGTGAAATCATACCCAGATTCCCACTTGGTCTGATCTGCCTGGTCTCAATAAGGGAAATACGATGAGGCCGCAAAGGAAGGGATAGCCTACCTATATCCCCTCAAACCTTATTTGTATTGGCTGGGTAAAAATGAAAGTTTATGAAAAAAAAAGAAAAAAGAAAGCTATGTGATTCTTTTCTCCATACAGCTTGACATATTACTGTTTAATATTTTCTTAGAAAAAAAATGACGTCTAAGAGCTATTCCTGTGCATCGTGATCAAAATATAACGCAAACAAAAATACCCATGAAATGAATTGCACTTACCAAATACAGTCCTAGCTGGAACTGATTCCTTGTTTATCCAGAACGAAACTTGAGAAAGAATCACTGTCATAATACATGGAATGTATGTCTGAATCATAAAGTAACCCATCTTCCGTCTGAGGTGGAAATAAACTGTCATAACAATATATTCACCTACAAATAAAACACGAGGAAAATGTATTATTGGTTACGCAGGCAATTAGTCAATGACTTCATAATCATATTTCAGACTAACAAACAGTATTTCAGACAAAGAATGATCTGTAGTGCATTGACAGCAAGCTGAGAAACATATAGTTCCTAACTAGGGAGGAAATGATATTGAACATCATTACGTAGAAAAACACTTTTGTTCTATATAGTGGTTAAGCGATTTAACAAATTAAGCTACAACTTTTTAAAAAATTCTTGCAGTGTTTTCTATTTTAAAGATAGGGTACTGCGAAAGCGATTAGCCTTCAATTTCAGCATTTTTCTTAAGAGCAGAATTTAGACCTCACTTTTACGGAAAATCACTAGAAAAAAAATGGAAATACACACACTTGAAAATCTAAAGCTTAATTTTGGAAAGAATTGAAATACACAGATATACGTTACGTATACATATATGCTTCGAGAGAGGCAGTCTTACTGCCTTAGTTTTAGGAAAGAGCTGTATTTCTAAATGTTATACATATGAAGAAAAATACAAAGAGAAACTTATAACATAGAGCCATATATAACATCCCTGAGTTCAAGCATCTTTTATGGGCATTTAGACAAAAATCTAAAAAGCTAATAAGGGAAACAAACTATAAGATTTCTGGGAGCTGTTGATAAACATTTTTAATGTGACATCTGAAAGCGACATATTAAGAAAGTTACTTAGGAAAGCTGTGGCCTTATTCTCAGACTGTGAAGCCCAAGATTCAGAAGACTCAAATCCCAAAACATGGTTTTCAATCCCACTTGCAGGCTAGAAAATTAATGCCAAGTAGCATATTGACTTTAATCGTTAAGCATCTCACCCGTAATGGACTTGATAGTTTCACTTGATACAGTTTGCCCCACCAAGTCATATTGGACTAAGCTGGAAGACTCCTTTGGAACTTCCACTGATTTCTCAGGACCTTTTGTCCAGGTATAAATCATCTCACTCTTCGGATATGCATCTGAATGAGAGCCCAGAATGTGATTAGACTTAATGGTCCTTTTTCATCAGGACTGCTGGTCAACACTTAAGAATATTACACATGTTCAAGAAAGATGGAATAAAAGGAAACAATACTCATTATGATTTATTCAAACATGCTTAAGATTTAGAAAACTGTAGAGATTAAATGAACAGCCTTGCAACTCAGCATATTTCTTGTTTTTATGTCAAAGGATTGGAGAAGGAGAGACTAACACTAAGGCAACTTAAATGTTATATATGCATCAATGCACTTGGATGTGCTTGCATACTAATAGGATAAGCAGCTGAAAAACAGAAATCATGCTCCTCCACCAAAAAAAGTATTTCCTTCCACTCTAACTCAATTCCAGTGCTTGACCAATACTGACTTCTTCCATCCTAAGGCCGTTCTGCCAATTAGAAATGTACCAGATGCTGCCTATAAAAATACAACAACAAAACCAAAACCAAATCCTACTGTTGGGAGAGCTCTTCAGGGGTCACCTATTCCAGACTGTCTCTGGGCAACACCCATGTTGTTTGGGAACTATTCCGCAGCGACAACTGATTCTGCTGTTTGTAAAGCTCTCCAGGGACTATAAATACACAACCAGTTCCGCTACCTTTAAACTCTTACAATCAGGACATTTTCCCTTCCGTCTTCAACAAATCCCTCCCAGTGGCAATTTAAGCCCATTTTCTATTATTCGGTGTTGAATGCAAATGGAAACCAGCTGCTTGCTTTACCAGTCCTCCCACAACAGGTAGCGTGGCTCACACACAAGGAAGCCTGAAAGAACATGATGAATTGGTTCCCTCCACAAACCTTCCTAAAATGGCTAGAGCACAGTAGGTCCTCAGTGAAATTGCTTAATTCTACAAAGGAGCTGATACCTAGGGAGACTATTTTTACAAATGATTTCACAAAACGAACTCTGAGGCTTGTGTTGCCATTTAGCAGTAGACATTTCAAAGAGCCCGAATACTATGTTCCTGCCCTTGATATTCTAAATCAGGTATCCTTCCATTGGCTATTCTACCTTGATAGAATAACCTTGCTCTTAACGATTCAATAGTTCAGGCAGGAAATGAGGGCCTGGGCAAAATGGGTGAAGGCGATCAAAAGATGTCTCTCTTCTTAATTCCTAATCCAAAATTTCAACTTCCCAAGAGTGATTTCTTTATTTAGCACAAACCCTGATTGCGTATCAACTATGTTCAGGTCACTAGGAAGAGTGCTGTGTATGGGAACCAGAGGGGCCTGGATGGGAAAGAACTTCCCATAGATAAGAACTATCTTGGGGGAAAATTTAAATTCTTACAGTACCAATGGGTTTTAATTCTGCCCCCAGTGAGATGGCCCTTTCTGTCTATGTGGTTTTTTTTTAAATCTTCTCTCATTAAGTCACTGGTTAGGGAGCAAATGACTCTCTCTAGAATTAACTTAGCTCACTGAATACTGTGATTACTAGGGGTTATAAAAGAAGGGTGATGGCCAATTCTCATTAAGCTAAGCAGTGAGCAATAGTAATAGCAGGCAAAAGTTTCACAATCAGTGTACTAAGGATCTGAAGCAATAATAAAAGCTAGCCTCTATTTTTGGTAGATTCTGAATGAATCAAATATTTGCAGCAGACCTTAGAAGAGGCAACCTCATTTTTCCGCCATCTCAGAGAAGGAAGCTTAGGGGAAAAGAATTCCATATTGTTTTCTACCCATTCATTTCACCTTCTCGACTTTACCTCCTCAAAATATGCCCAATTCATCTACCTCACAGCTTCTCCTCTAGTACCACCCTTGTCTAAGCCACTGCCATCTTTGATGGTACTAAAGCAATAGCCTCCAACTCTTCTCTGCTTCTATTCTAACCTCCCTACAGTCCATTCTCTATAGAAAAGCTGAAATGAAGTTGTAAAATGTCAGTCAAAGAATGCCAAATCCCCTAGTAAAACCTTCCAAGGGCTTTCTATAGCATTTACAATAGAATCCAAACTCCTTAATGTGGTCTATAAGGTGATATATTATCTGGCTCTGTCTGTGTATCAGACCATACCTCCTACTATGCTTTCATCATGCTTCAGCCACTTTGATACTAACAGCGCTGCTGCTATTATTCTAACCCTTGTCATTTCAAGAAACCCTGAAACTTCTCTCACCTTTTTTCAAATCTGCCTTAAAGAAGACTGCTTGTAACAGACACTGTTCAATTACTGCCCTCCCCATCAACAATCCTTTGTACTTTCTTGGTTACACCACCAACACATGGAGTCCAGGGGTCCCTAAATTTCACCACTGACCACCAACCTACTATTAATGAGTCAGTCTACCTAGGCTATCTGTACAAACAGATTTTTGGTTTTTGGAAATGGGTTGAAATAGTCTCCTCAAAGTCAAATCTTAGAGAGTTGTTGTCATGAACAATGATTTAAATGGATTATGGGAATCATGCCCATATATAAATATCAGCTTGCATTAGGTAATAATAAATTCTAACAATATTTGTATTGTAACTTACAACTTCCAAATTTCAAAGGGCATGCATGACCATCCATGGGGAAATCCACCAATCTCATGGGACACTCTGCACTTATAGTGAGTCTAAAGTGGAAAAATACAATTAACATTAGCTCTCACTTTAAAAATGATTTTATGACACCTAAAATGAGAAAGATGAAAAGAAGGAAGGAAGGACAGAAAGAGGGAAAAAGGGAAGGAGGGGAAAAAAAGCTTAAAAGGGGAAGAAGGAAAAAGAAAAAAATGACTACCTCATTGTGTATAAAATAGTGCCATTTCTCATAATTCTAAAAAGTTTATTTGGAGCTGTCATATTATGTGAAACAGATTTCTTTCCATTCCTGAAGAAAGTATCAGGGGTCCATACTTTTGTTACCATCATATTGTTCAGTCTCAAAATTTCAATGGGGCCATCATATTTTAGTCTTTTGTCAATCCATGTCTGTCTGAAGAACACATCCATTGTGTATTCCTAGGGAAATTAGTTTGTGACATATTCAAATCACAGATGACTACACATAAATATGCATTAAATTCTACCCTCCTTCCCACTCGTAAAAAAAAAAACTACCCAAATAAAAACAAAATTAATAGCAGAAATTTTCTTAAATCAATAGAACTAAAAGATTCTCAGCAATTAAAGCATGTTATGTCCATCTTGATACCTTAATCTTCTACTTTATTAGATAAGTAAATTACCATACACATGAATCATTCGAGAGTAATTACTATAATTTAATAAAACTGCCAGCATCAGGTAATTACAGTTGTACTTTAGACCAGGTAGCAAAATTAGTAAGTGTAACAAATATCATGGCATAATTGATCATAAAATTGTAGGCATCTCTAAGACAAAGTAAAATATGTAAAAAGTAATTTTATAGTCACAGAATTTATTAAAGTTAGCCCAAGAGCCTCGGGTCAAGGAAAAAAGTAAAGTTGGCCCTTTGACCTTTAAACTACATATATTTAATATTAGAAGGCACAACTGAATGGACTGAATGGATGAATTCATCCTGATCAGGTGTTCTAACCTCTTTAAGCATGAGAGAGAGGTAGGGTGAGAAGGGGTTGGGGTGGAGGCAGGGAGTGAGCAATTGGGCCAACATGGAATACTAAATGCAATTAGGACTACAGTACAGTTTCATACAAAAACTAGTTACACTCTTTAATTTTCTCCTCTTCAATAATTTTCTAAGGGAAAAAATTACTGCATAAAAGGTTGTGCATGGAGACTAGTAGAGGAAAGTTCTTTTCTTTGTTGAGAATAACTCCAAACCAAAAAATATTCAAATGTTAGAGATGAAATGCAAATTCAATGTCTTACTCCTTATAAACTTTTGAGATTAATTAGGCAGTTCTTTGACTTTCTAGCTGTGTGTGATTAACAACAAAATAAATATTAATTGCCCTCTCTTCTGCATGTTTACTTCCAAACCTCAAGAGGTACATTGAATTTCCCAAATACCTACCATTTCAACATCAGAGACAGGTCCAAAGCTGGTGACATATATGTCAGTTTTTACTTCTGTAACTGGACCTAGTAGGTATGAAGTAAATGAGTGAAAAAAATTACCAATTTTATAGGCAAGGAGGATAATTAAAGAGTAAACACAGATATGATATATCATGTTTTTACGGCATCTTAAATTTTCAGTGAGGTAATGCACCTCTCCAAAAATAAAAGAAAATGTAGACAAAAGAACAACAAAACCAGAAAGCTGTGTTTATTTACAGGCAAAACAAAACAAAACAAAACAAAAACGCACCCCAATTACTTAGGGGAACCTTGTTTCTTCAAAAATACATCATCTCCGGGCACTGTTATGACAGGCAGTGCAGGGAACAAAAGCTTTTAGCCTTTGTAATTTTTTATAGTCCATCATCTGATTGGCCATTAATAAAGAAGTGAGCTGTTAAAAAGAGGAAACGTAGCCACAGAATGAGAAGATAAACCATAATAGTTGTAAGGGATGCATCTTTGGAGAGCTGAGAATTCTGGGAAATAATTTAAGCACAAAAATGATTCATGTCACCTTTAACAATAGGCAGACCATCCACTGGTGACTGAAACCAAAGATAAACTCTCCTACAAGTCAGACCTATTCACTTCTTGCCACCTACTAGCCATTTGATCTTGGGCAGGCTATTGAACCTCTCAAAAGCAGCAACCACAGATACGGGCAAGACTGTTGATAGGGATCAAATGAAATTGCTCATATGAAACCCTGAACACGGTGACTCTATTATCAGAGTACTTATTAAGTAGTAGTTTCTCTTTGCTTCTGATAATGGCCGCTATGGACATTCTTTCCCAGGCCTAAATAAGAATGTTTCAGAAACACACACATAGGTTTGCTTGGCAGAAGAAAAAGGTGGGGGCATCATGACAATGGGGCTGACAGAGATTTTAGACAAAGGAAAAGTGCCACAATCTGGGCTTAGTATGATGCTTAAAATAAGGAATTGTGGAATTTATATTTGGCTCTAACACTTTTTAAATTTATGATTTTAGTCAAGTCATGAATCCTGATAGGTAAATGTCTTAACGAGTATTAACTGAAATTATAAATGTAAATGACTTGTCCCAATCTCTAGAATATAATGCACTCAATAATGATAGTAGTTACTATTATATATAACCATTTTTTATTACTAATAAAAATAAAAAATTGTTGCCCTCTTGAACATCATTTCCTTAAATGATGGTTTATACCATTGTTTGGCTAAAAGTTAGATACTCCATAATGGAAAGAATAACATCTGTTATCAAGATGGACTATTTCCTTTGGATACTGGTTGGGCATTTGGATTTATGCCAAGAAAAAAAAAAAAGACAAAAGGCATAGCTTAATGCCCTAGGTCTAAAGTTATCCTCATAAAAATGAATCAGAATATTTCTCCCTTTATAGGACAAAGATTGAGCCACAGGAAGAAAAAATAGTTTGAAAGAGAATGAGAAAATTCTTTCATAAATAAGTATCCTAAGAAAAATATATCTCTGTAAGTATAGTGAAAGGAAAGGTATAGATGAAATTGATCTATCATGAGCTTTCATTTAAAAAAAAAATAACACCTTTGGAAAACAGAGAAAATAAGTGTGAGAAGTTAACTGACTTTTTATTTGAATGATCAATTGTAAACAACCACAAAAATATGGTAGTAATAAGCTCATCAAACCAAAATGTTTCAGGAATACATAGGCAATCCAAGAAGATGGTAATGTGTGTTGAACTTTAGAAGATAAGAGCTTTAATTCAAAGTGGTTCAAGAGTGGGACAAATCACTCTGCTAGTTTCTTTTTTTTTTTTTTTTTTTTTAAAGATTTTATTTATTTGAGAGAGAGAGAATGAGAGACAGAGAGCATGAGAGGGAAGAGGGTCAGAGGAAGAAGCAGACTCCCCGCTGAGCAGGGAGCCGGATGCGGGACTCGATCTTGGAACTCCAGGATCATGACCTGAGCCAAAGGCAGTCGCTTAACCAACTGAGCCACCCAGGCGCCCCACTCTGCTAGTTTCTTAAGAACAATTATTAAAAGCACTAAGTTACTGCAAGTCAGAGCAAGGAAAGATAAGTTACTTAGAACAATTACAGTTGAATATGTCCTGACAACTGAACCATTTGTTTGACAAGATGCTTGAGAATTTAAAAGTTACTTTAAAGATCAGTTTAGGGCTGGTTTTCAAACTTTAACTGGATCAGAATCACCCAAAGGTTTGTTAAAGTACAGAATGCTGGGCCTCACCCTAGCCCTGCTGATTTAGTAGGTTTAAGGTAGAGCCTGGCAATTTGCATTTCTAACAAGTTGTTAGGTGATACAGTTCACCTTATTCTAGTTTACAGACAGTGTTCATCTGATTTCTAGAATAGTATTTACCAAACTATGTCCTGTAAAATATTAATACCGTAAGAGTTCTATGGGAGTAAGGGAAATATAGGAGAGGAATTAGGTCAATGATATTTTTACTTACAAATTTATTTTAAGGGGTTTAAGGGGTGTGGGATTATGCTAATTCTTGTAGTTACAATGATTCCATGAAAATAATGGGTATTTTCAAATTCTTACATAATACTTCCTTAAAGATTCTTGAAAAAATATTTGTGTCCCGAATTACAATCTTAGTATTGGTTAGTTTGTTTGTGACATTATTCAGTATTTGCTTTATATAATCATATAGGTCTTTGAGATTAAGTGAGAGTCTAAAAATATATGATTGGTAGAGGGATTTCATTTGGACACTCACTCAATAAACATTAATTAAGAACCTGCTGAGGGTCAGTTTCTATACTAGGCCCTGGTGCTACAGTGGTTAACAAGACTTAAGAGTTCCCTGTCTCACTGGGTGTTATATGTAAGTAATGCATCACTAAATTCTATTCCTGCAACCAATATTACACTGTATGCTAACTAACTAGAATTTAAATGAAAATTTGAAAAGTAAAAGAAAATTAAATACAATAAATAAATAAATAAATAAATAAATAAATAAATAAATAAATAAAAGAGTCCCCTGCCGCAGGGAGTTACCATGCTATTAGAAGAGTCTGAGTATAAATAATAAAGAAATAAGTTAAATGGAAGAATCTCTTCATTCATAAGAGGTACAAAATAGGCTGGTAATGGAGTAAGAGCCTGGGAAAGCCTAGATTTTTGAGCCACTCTTCAAAGCGGTGACTTCTAAACTAAGACCTGGAGGGTAAGTCTGAGCCACTGGAAGAACAGAGAGAATCGCCATTCCAGGCATAAAGTACTTCAGGGCAAAAGCTCAGAGGCAGGAGAGATCTTAGTGTGTTCAGGGACTAGAAAAAAGGCCAGTGAGGCTGGCGGCAAAGCAGGTAAGAAAGAGAATGATAAGAAATGAAAGCCACATGAACAGAATGAAGACCAGAGTCAGTGGGCAGAGACCTAGCCCTGAGTCCATATTCTTAAGGGGCATCCTTTTAAGCAACATACTTAGAATACACATTACAGTGACAGTTGTTAAAACTACATGGAAAAGAGCTTGTAGAAATCCCGCTGACAGATGGGCAACACATAGAGAGGTTGTTATGGGCTGAATTATGTTCTTCCTAAATTCATATGTTTAAGTCCTAAGCCCCAGTGCCTCAGAATATGACTGTATTTGGAATTAGGGTCTTTAAAAAAAGGAAATTAGGTTAAAATGAAGTCATTAGGATGGGCTCGAATCCAATGTGACTGGTGCCCTTAAAAGAAGAGGAGATTAGGACACAGAAACACACAGTAGAAAGACCATGTGAAGACAGAGAAGATAGCCATCCACAACCAAAGGAGAGGGGACTTAGAAGAAGCCAAGCCTACTGACACCTTGATCTTGCTGTTGTTTAAGCTGCTCCGTCTGTGGTATTTTGTTATGGCCGCCAAACAAAACAATACAGAAATACAAAAGAAACAATTTTCCTCTGTTCTTTCCCAAAGTTTTCTCCCTCTGATGTTCTGTACAGCTCTGCCTTAGGCTGTGAGGAAGTTTGATTTCTATCCCTTAATTCATTGGAAGACCATCAAGAGTTTGAAGTAAGGAAATTATATGATCTGAATTATATATTTAATAAAATCACTCTGGCAGTTGTATGGACCGTAAATTATAGAGAAGCAAGTGTAGAGGAAGGGCTCTTATAAAAGGCCGCCATACCAGCCAAGTTCAGGAATGATGATGGCCTACTAGGAATGCAGCAGTGGGGATGGCGTGTTCACAGATCAAGGGGCATGCTGGTGTGTCACTGCTCACAGGGAACAGGTTTTTTTCCCAAAAAGCAAAGAGCAGAGATATAATAATTCTATTTATTGAAGGCCTCCCATGTGCCAGGCAGGATACTAGCCTCTTTCCATACACTATTTCATTTAATTCTCACAACACCCTCCGAGGGTGATACTATCATGAGAATTTTATGGATCTGGAAGCTGAGCTCACAGAGTTTAACTATCATATGCCAGAGCCAGAATTATAACTCCCTCAAGTAACTTCTAGCTTTACTATGCTAATGATATCATTAAATAATAAATCAATAATTAACTGCTTATATAATTTTCTATCTACTACATAACATGCCGTATGTAAACTTCCTAAATTTTGTTTATGCAAAGTTTCTGAGCTATGTTCTTGCAGCACTTTCCTTGCCTTTGCTCTTATCTTATCATAGCCTGTTTGAGTCTGTCTTTCTTCCCTTAACAGCAAAGATGAAATCTTAATCCTCTTTGAAGTTCCCAGGCTTTGCACATACTAGGGGGTGAATAACTATGTGTTTGTGTTCTTAATAGCATCTCACTAGTGATTTAAAAACTTCCCCAAAAGAAAAATTACTTGGATTCATTCGTTACACCAGCTAAGCTAAAAATATTTCCTGATTAAAGCAGAAAATGTGTCTTACTTATATTTGTATCCTTTCCCAGAACTAATCTCAAGCCTTAAATGTAATAGGTTTTCAATAAATCAGTTTTCTATGAATAATGGTCGCTATGTAATTAAGAATAATTCTTAGAGATGCTTCCTCTAATGCTACTGTTTAGGACGTTCAAATCAA